CCGACATCTCAACACTGCAAGTCGCCCACACGTATAATACAGCACGTAACTATATCAAAGGCAGATCGGCCATCGCAGAAACAGTCCTTCCAAAAAAAAACATGTACGCTCACCCCAACCGAAAACCTTTCCCGAATAGACTCCTCCCATCATGTGGGTAGCCCCCCGCCCACCCCCGACCCCCCCCCAAACTCCTTGGGCTTGGAGGCTCTTCGCGTCACGATGACGTCCGCACGCACCGACCTATACCGACATACCGCTGCAACGCGTGCATCGCATTGCAAATGCTGCGCGAGCGTAAACCACAACCCCCACTCACGGGGCCGCCTCCACCAGCCCGCGCTTGATGGCGTCCTGCAGGAACGCGACCACGGCGTTGTACGCCTGATTCTCAGAAGACACGTTGCGATGGTCGAACTTCCTTTTAACCTTGTTGCATCCGTCAAGCAAGACGCCCTGCGGTAGCTTTGCCGTCCACTTTGACTCAGACCTGCATTTAAACAGCCAGCAGCCATTGGGCTTCTTGAACGACCCCAGCTCGACGGGGTTGCAACTGCTGCCACTGCTGCGCGTATAGCGTGGGATCACCCCTTTGAGTGCACGGCTGCATGTGTGCTTCACCTTGGGCCGAATCGTGGGCTTGAGCATCTTCATGAGGCACGCGGCGCAATGTGCTGGGGCTGGCCCCGTCCCTCCGTCGCTGACGTCTCCTTCGCCGCCGCCTCCTGAGCTTGCTGCGCCGCCCGCTGCGCCGCCTCCTCCTTATTTGCCTCCTCGGCAGCCCTGCTCTCGAATATGCCCTTCATGAGCGAACATCCCCGAGTCCACCGCTCCTGCCGCGCTGCCCTCATCCACCGTGCCGAATCCCATCGCCGCACAGTCGCACTGCTTAAGCTGCTTGAGCTCGAGCTCTTCGAGCTCGAGCTCGACGAACTCGTCGAGCGGGAGCGGCTTCTCGAGCCCGATCTCACCATGGCGGCCCGAGGGACCGATTGCAACGTGCAATATGCACAAGTGCAAACAGTTGGCCGCCGATGTCGCAACCGATGTTTGAGGCAAAATAGCCGCGGGCGGATGATCTGCCACCCAGTCAGGCGCTGATGGCACTGCGTAGATCGCACCACATATTATTCCCCCAGCCCAGCGTAGCGTGACATCAACGTTATCACGCTCGCTCGCATAACATAGCACGGCATCGCATTCATCATTGGCGGTAGCATTGCACGTTGACACGCGTAGCATAGCGCAGCATATCAGGTATTATGTCGTTGCTGCGGCTGGTGGCGCCCCAGGGCGCGCATGCACGTGTGCAACTCTGCGCTTGCAAATCATGTGCACCACAGCGTTTGCCACAAGCGGTTCTTATCGGAAATATGACACCCAGTAGTTCTGATACGCTCGATCGTGCTTCATAGCGATAGCATGTTGACCCGATGTATCCCAAACCATTGGCGTGCGCGATCGCATGCATTAGATGCGCAAAGATAGGTGCAAAGGTAACCAGTCGCGAAGAGTGAATGCACGCCCCTAACACACGACCCACACATCCCTAAAGCATGGTCATTGGAACAACACTAAGTTAACACACAGCCCCTAAAACATCTCTAAAGCACGGTCCTGAAACTTCCCTAAAGCACTGCCCCTGAAACATCACTAAGGTAAAAACCCCCCAAAAAAATATTACTGAAGCACCGCCCCTGAAACTTCCCTTGGGCACGGCCCCTGCAGCATCCCTAAGGTAAAACACAGCCCCTAAAACATCACTAAAGCAAGGCCACTGACACATCCCTAAAGGACGGCCCCTGCAACACCCCTAAGTTAAAACACAGCCCCCAAAACATCCCTAAAGCATTGCCCATGGAACATCCTTAGCACGGCCCACTGAAACATCCCTACAAGGTAAAACACAGCCCCCAAAACATCCGCAAATCACTGCCACTGAAACTTCGCTAAATCACAGACGCAGCCACTAAAACATCATTAAATCATTTAGCCTGAATCATCACTCAAGCACGGCCCTGAAACATCACTAAGGTGAAGCACAACCCCCATAACACACCACTAAAGCACGGCCCCTGAAACTTCCCTA